TCTGCCTTACTTTCATGCCGAATCCGAAACACGTGGCTATTTGTTCTCAGCTGCTTCCTCTGACACTAAACTATCATCACAGGTATACCTACAGTGCTGTTCTGCATCGGTGTTTCCTTTACCTTGTAAAAACAAAAAAAGTAAGGTCCATCCTGGCAAAAGCTTGTGGTCTACAAATACAACCTGCACATTGTGTCACACGCAATGACATCTTTTGTTTCAGACTCAGTTACGAGGAATGGGATAAGTGCACAATTCCTACACCAGTAATGTAGTTAACGTGCATAGTGATGTTCTTGGATGAAAATAAAGAAATTGAGTGTTTTCTGCTGTCACTGTCTCTGGGCAACACAAAGCTCCTGGGAGCTCCCAAAGAAAACTGCGAAGGGTCGTCTGCACTGCTGTACCACTCACAAAGCCCATTACACTATGAGCTAAGTGCTAAAAATAACTGCAAGCACTCCTGCACCTGCTTACCCAACAGGAGAAATGGATGCACAGAAAAACTACTCTGGAGGACTTCCAAGGAGCCCCCCAGCATACACAACTGCGCTCTAATCGGAGAAATAGAGAACACAGAGGCAATTGTATTAGAACAGTCTCTACACAGGCACACATCCTTGTGGTTTTAAAAGCCACACCAGCAGTTCTTGCAGCCAGTTTCAGCTGCACAAATTCTACAGGGAAGACATTAGCGGATACATTATTTAGTAAAAGAAAAGCACACCACTTTTAAAACGGCAAACGCGGCAGCAGAGCTAGTGCAGAGGCAGCAGAAAATAACCCTTTTATGTACATCAAGAATTTCCCCACATTTACGTTTACAAAGTCTCTGCATACCTCCCAAAACCTCAAATAGATGCTTAGCCAATAAACAAAGATTAGTTTCTGGATAAGAGAAACACCTACAAAGGAGATACAAATTTGTTCAAAATGGCAAGAGACGGCTCTTCTCTAAAAGAAGCCACATTTCAGCATGCATGGCAGTGTAACGTTCTGCATTCCTTAGATGGGAAAAACACGGAAACCTTGGTTATAGCTCTGGATCTCTTAAATCATTTCAGTAGGACATTTGGGGCTGAATGAAAGGAGAAAGCCAGAATGAAAGGAGAAAGCCAGAATGAGGCAGGGGGAAAAGGTCCGTAATCCCTGGCCGGGACATATCAAACATTGATTTGTCACAGGGAGAGCAGCTAGGAGGAATCTGTGGACAAGACAGAGTGGCTGACGAAAGGACAGAAGGGCAGACCACAAGCTGTTTATCATAGGTCAAGAGGGAGAAAGCTGCCTTTGCACCTCAGGCTGATCTGCTGGGCTTTATTGCGCACATCAATTCCAGACCAAAATCTATCTGCAAGCCAGTTAGTTCTCAGTGATGTTGATCAACATCCAGAATTTTTTCAGCACTGTGACCGTAGCTTCAGTTTGTCACATCATACAGTAGTCAGCAGAGCAGCACAATGATCACACCTGAGCACCTGCCAAAAGACAAATATATTAGTAATGCAAAGCAGTATGAAGGGATGTGCATTTTAATCTAGAGTTATTTGAGCACTGTGCCACGAACTCAGGTCTCCTCTTACACGAGCTAACAGCAGCAACTAAGGAAACATCAGCCTGCAAGACATAAGCACCCAAGCACCTTACATTTATTTCACTCTTAATCCTGAATGATAAGCAATAGTGTGTCCAATAGGCTGACCCAGTGCCAGGAGTTTCCTTTGCCTTCTCCCTAGGCAAGCAAGTTAAGTGAAGTTCAGTTTCTTTAAAAGCTGAAAATATTTTAAATTCTAGATGCCTCAAGCATTTCCACCTGGTGACAAAATATCCTGTAATGTTTAACAATGCTGCAAAGAAAGCAACTGGCCCAGCAGATTTCAGGTTCTCTATTATGGGAGGTTTTTGACAACAGCCAACAGACACATGAAGAACTTTCTGCTCCTCAGGGGTTAAATAGAAACCAGTGATTTATCTTCCTAAATCCCCAAGCTAAAGACAATACCCATTCTCCAAGGGGTCTGACTGCCACACCACCTCCCCCGCAGGGTTTTTAGTATGGCACAGCTTAAGTAAAGCACAGCTTAAGTGTTTTATTCAGCTTTAAGGCAGGGGGGAAGGGAAGAGGTGGAGGGAGATCAAAATAAGATCTTACAGGATTTAATCTTCACTACACATTCTGTGCTAGTGCTATGGACTTGCTTTAAAACATCAGTAATGAACACTTTTTGCAATAACACCCAAAGAAAGAATATGCACTTTGTATGTTCATAGGAAGCTATGAAAACGTCTCTCTAGGTTACAAACCTAGACAAGCAATTATTCACTTCGATCCTTTGGCTCTCGGTATTTCCACTGGATATAGTCAAAGATGTCTTTTTCACATTCTACCGGTAAGGCCTCCCCAGCAACTCCTGCAAGCAAATTACAGATGCTATTTGAAAGGTGGAAAGTCTGTACAATCCTGAAATGCCAAATGCATTGCAAGATTAAAACGAACTTCTGTAAGTAAAACAGACTTAAAAAAAACCAAAACAAAACACACTCCACAGACCTTTTAATCCAGTGTTTAGGTACTGATTCTCATTGCTGTCAAAGGAAATAAGGTAATGAACTAACTTTAGGACCATGTGATTATGCAGTTAAATATCTTTATATTCATGTGTGTGGGTGTATATGTATAAAATCAGCCCCCCTCCAAAACAAAGTAACTGAAGGACACAACACAGCTTGTTAAAAGAGTGGTAAACCAGATATGTGCTGTGCATGGCACTGACCTAAATGTTGTTTTTTCAGCAAGACTTAAGTAGATTAGGTGGCCCAAAGCGCTGCCTATACACAAGTAGGCTGCCTCTTTCTGCTAGAATTTTGTCCAATACCATAAAGGACACTGAAAAATTTTGTGAACTATAGTATTTATCAAAGTATTTTCAGTACACTGAGAAATTAATTTAAGGAGAAGAACACAAAATACATGTAACTAGAAAGAATACAAATGTGCAAACGCTCAGACTGACCAGTGACACCCAAGGGACGGATTGTATACTCGTTGATCGTGAAGCCCATTTCCAGAGCGTGAGTTCTCATGTTCTTATTGAATATATCACTTCCTGTGAAGTACAGTACACCACAGTAATACTGATCTTTGGGGATAAGCCTAGAATAAAAGAGGAAGAAAAGTACAGATTTTGAACACTGATTGTTCTAGAATTACTTCCTATTTACATGCACACATTCTGCAACTCTGTACGTTAGGTTTTCTCACAAGCCAGATGCAAGTATATAATGAACTGCAGCACATCTACCCTGACCCAGAAGTTATTGGTGTTCAACCGTTAACCTGCTGTAGATACTGGCAGTTGCATAGTGGGTTCCATACTGCAAAGGAATTAAAAACCTAGTAAATGCCATGCTCTGAATGTGGAAGTAGAGATCGGAATGCAGAACTTGATGGAAATGCCTACTATGTAGCAGACAGCTAAAGCAGGGTTTTGGTGGATTTGGTTTTGTCTTGTTGGTTTTGTTTGTTTGTCTGGGGGTTTTTTGGTTATATGTGTGTGTCTCTGTGTGTGTGTGTACCGGATATCAATTCTCCTATGTGGATAAGCTGTCCCATCTTCTTTATTTGGCAGCTGACAGACACCCTGTGAGGAGTAAGAAAAGCAAGAAATTAAAAATGAAACTAAACAGATTTGAGATCAATCTGCCCCACCCCTAAATAACCTATTATGTCCTGTCTCTAGCAGCTTATCCATTAAATCTGGTCTGCAACAAAATTGACAAAAAAGGAGACAAAAGCCTATTTTGTGTTAGACAAAACAAAGTGAACACAGGCTTGAGATCAGAGATAGCGTTTCCAAGATCTTGAGGACAGAGTTACAAAAGCGGTCACCGGTGCAACGGAAGATGTGAGGCTGTGCTAAGGTTCTGGGGAAACATCAAGGAAAACAGAGACACAACTTACATTGTGTGATGAAAGTTATGTCAGTGTGGTTCAGAACTACATCAATACCTGTAGATTTTCTAATGGTGAATCTCTCATGGTAAGATTTCAGTAACAGTTAACTGCAGAAAGTTTTTATGGGGGAAAGGGGAAGGGAATTAAACAGAACAATTTCTTTAAAAGCACAAGTCCAGTAGTCCAAACAATGTATCTTGTATATATCCTAGCTTGTGTCACAAAAGGTAATTTCCCCACCATACCTCATCACCAAAAAAGCCTTACCATGAATTTGGTGTCACCTTTAGACAGCATATCTGTGACAAAGTGGACTTTTTCCAGTTGTTCTACAACTTGACGCAAAAGTTTTGGCTAGGAACAGTGACAACACAGAAGAAATTATTTTACAAATAACAAGAGTATCTTACCCATTTACCAGACAATGACCCACATAAGTACAGAACATCACTGTAATTATATGTATTATTGGATATGAAATTTGACCTAGAGGAGAAAAAAAACAAAAACCAATAATACTGAGAAAAGCTAATGAAATTACAGTCATGCAACATAAAAAAAAAATTCCACTGAAATCTCCCTGTCGGATTGCTTTTGTTGGAAGTGACAAAACTTGTTTCTTGGTTTGAGTTTTCACCTTTTAAGCAATGACTCTATAGAAGCAACACAAGAAACAGAATCTGCCATTAGACTTCTCCAGAGTCAGTCCTAAAAGATTGCAAGGGCAGCAGGACACTCGCTTCTTGTCCAAAAGATTATGGCTACATAAAGAGATACTTACTCTACCTTTAATCCCTGCTTTATCTATCTAGCTGTTACAGCTCTGTGTTGTAAAACCACGTGAACTTAAGGGGGTGGAGGGAGTGCGTGAAGGGAGGAAGGGGGACAAGATAAGAGTAGACATACTGAATAATTCTGCAGGACGAACAAAACATAATGCATGGACCTGAGAAGTAATTATAATTCCTCAAAATAAACACAGTGATCTGTGAGAATAGTTTACTATTGCAGTAACAAAAAGACGCAAGAAGCCTCAAGTCTGAGACTACATATCTTATGAACTTAAACATATCCTTGTGGAAGTAACGCACAGTACTGATCTACAGCAGCAGAGAAACATACCTGTTTGGATGATTCAGATGTGAAACTCGGATGGGTTACGAGAACATCCATATCACCACTTGACTCTGCGCCTAGGCAGGTAAAAAGCAAAGAAAAATCCCCCTGTGCATGACAAAGTATACTAACATTGGTAAACGTCCATCTAACCACTTCCTATAAATGTGTTTTTCTGGTAGAAAATAGCTATTCATATTCAAGATACTTGCAAAAAAAAAACCTGTCTTAAAGTATGAGAACTTTGTTCTTCCATCAAAGTTTATATCCCCGCATATCTCAGAAAATACCCAAGAACTTCTTGCTCTACTCTATAGCAACAAAGCACAAATACTCTTATGTAAAAACAAAGCAAAAAATTAACATGTTACAATACAATACTCTTTATGGGGGTGGCACGGAGAAGCGAGGATTTATGCGGGTGTTTCATAACTGAACTAACCAGTCAAGACAATACTAACAAGAAAAAGCCAAATTCCAGCACAGACTTTCCCCTTCAACATATATAGTAATGAGTCTTGCTTATTAGCCCAAAATAAACATTACAAGGTCACAGAGTACCAACCTCGCCTAAAACTGCCACAGACTGTAGCAATATAGTTTGGGTCCAGCTTCTTTACCTCTTCCAGCACAATTTCCTATGTAGAAAGGAAAGATGTGTATTTAGAGGTGTCAGTTATTTACTGGCCACCACATGCTCGATAAAGAGATTCTTACCTGCATTTGCAGCATTTCTTCCCTCGGGATTCTTTTCTCAAAGTCTTCAAAATATCTGCATATATAAAAATAAAAGTGTTTGAAAGAGCGGGAAGGGTAGCATCTTAAAGTTTTAGTCAATTACATGTGTATCAGAGGAAAGAATACAACTTATATTACTGTCACATCACAAAAAGCTCCCCATTCTCACCAAACATCTTAGAAAACACCTTGCCAAGTGAAGGTGAAAACTCACAACTGCAAGTTTGACAATAGTTAGAAGACGGTTTCATTGCGTGTTACTTCTACGGTAGATGAAGAGCTGCTATGAGGTGGGAGCAATACTACTGTTTAACCAATTGGTTTATAGTTACAAAGCTCTCTGAAAACACAAAAGGTTCCTGACAAAACTCAGTCTGCCAGCAAGCGGGAGGAACAGGCCCCTCGTCCACGGTCAGAGGTGATCTAGGTTGGAAAGAGCTAAATGGAAGCTCACAAATCAAATACAGCTCCTGATATCTTTGCATGCAGCTGCAAAAGACACACTGCCAGCATGCTGCTTGAATATGAAGAAAAAGAGGCCAGGCGAAACTGACACACCTGACCAGCAGGCACACTCTTCACCTCTCCAGCACCAGAACCACTGACAGCAGGCGCTGGCAGCCATACTGGAGCCTCGGAGCCACATGTTCCCCAGCACTCGTTACCCAACCATCGCAATCCCAAGCTTGGTAGACAGACCTTCTGAATATGGGACCTTCCCCCACCCCGCTCTGAGAGGTATGGTGGAACTAGGGACAAAGAGACGACCATAAATCACTGAAACCATTCTTTTGAGCTCAGCACTTATCAGAGGTTCTGAAATGACAACATCTGATAACAATGTGGGAAGCAAACCCAACGGCAACATGTGCACTAGCAACATGGAGAAGTCAGGTGAGTTTTCTTATACTCACTTAACAGTGGAAGGTTTGCCTATGAATGCTCACACTCATAAAGGCAGGGACGCACACTGAGTATGGGGCTCAGATAAGCAGCAGGAAGATGACATTGTGTAACCCTTATCACCGTCAAGCAGTCTGTCCAGATCACATATTCCACGTTTCTGTCACTGATGTGGAAATGCTAGAGCTGGCCCCGCACAGAAGCAATGCAGAAATAGAGCTTTATTTTGTTCACTTGCATCTTCTTGCAAACACAGCTATAGTTCTTCCTGTACTAGCACTCCAGAACAGCCACTGAACAAGCAGCATTCAAGCTGGTAAGTACCGAGTGACAGACACACATTCTGCATAGCATTCTCAAGTGCAGACATGCAAAGGCGTTAAGTTGCTCACATAGCGTAAGAAAAAAATAGCCCGGGCCATTTTTACACAGTTTCCCAAGAAACACCATTGCAACCCTGCTGAAGTCATTCCCATGAGCTAACTGAAAAAGTAATTTGAAATTCATTTCCTTCTAGATGGTGACTAAGCCTACTGAATTTCAACCTCAGTGAAACAACAGCTAGGAATAACTGCTGAAAAGCACATAGAGCACACAGAGAGAATAGAACCTTCCTTGGCCTGTATAACCTTACATTACAATCTGGTGTCTGAAGGACTCATTAGAAAAGTCAAGCACTTGCATCCAAGAAAGCTTACTTCAGCCCAATTCGCTGGTGATGGGTCAGCTTGTGCTCATTTTTTCTCAGATCTAAAAGAGTAAGAAAAAAAAAACATTAAAAAAGTTACTCAATGACTGATAATGTTACACTAAGTTTCCACTAATGCAAAGATAATGCATAAAAAGAATATGTAACAAGAAAATGACATGCTCAAACACAAAGGAAGAGATTTTAAACTGACTACTTAACAGCTGATAGGATGAGTACAAACGCATAGAGCACTTCCTGATAAAGACTTCACCTCAAAGCCCATTCACCTCAAAGCCAAAATCCTTGCTATTTTCTATGTAATCTGTAAGTACTTTACATTGGATATGTATGTAATGCCTTTAGCCTGTGCAACGACTTTAGCATCTTACACACTTTCATGAAAGCCTAGGCTATATCTGCTGTCATAGTACCACTGTGGAACAGGCAACTTGACAGAAAAAAGCACATTATTGGAGTGTGAACTGAGGACCCAAATTTACACTTACCTTCTAAAGTCTTAATTCCTTCCTCGACAAACTTCCTAGCAGCAGCAGGACTGCAAAGAGACAAGGCAATCTGCCATCAGGAACACCAAGACTTTGACAACACTGAGAAGGACATTAGAATTCACTGTAACTGGCTCGGTTCTTCAAGGCCAAGACTGAAGTTGCTTCTGACGCTTACTTTTTTTCAGCACGCACATTTTTGGTTTGTACTTTCAATCAGCCAAGATGGCTATCCAAGGCTTGGCCTGCACATTTTTAGCACTGATGTAACTATACCGTGATGTGTAATTGTACAATACAAATAAACTAAAGCTCACCAAATATGCAGTATTGCTTTAGGCAACGAAACTGAACGCATGGTAAGAACTGCTTTAACCACGCTCAGTCTCTGAACGAGCTTAAGGCAACAGCAACACAAAAGCATCTTTATCCTAGCACTTCAAAAAAACCAACAAGACTCCAGTTTGCAACCTACAGTACAGCAAAGCAGTCTCAGCTCCACCTTGACTAGAGAGTCTGCTGTAAGCACAACACTCAAATGAATGGCTGAACGTTTTTTCCCTTTAAAGGTTTGTCATCAGATCAGTCTGCATGACTCTGTGGGGAAAGAGCAACATTTCAACTGTGAGACAGTAATATAGTAAGTAATATCAAGTAAGATAGCTATCCAATATCTCAAAATTATAAGAACCACCAGCCTGGAAGCATAGTCTCTTCCTTGGGAATTACTTTTCCCCTACTCTGGAATCCCACGGTTACAGCTCCACCATCCTTAAAGACTTTGAATCCATTTCATCAGCAAAACTCTTAAATTACTATAGAGCTGACAGATGTCAACCTGACATTTACTCCCTTTCTTAGCCTTCCATGTATCTCTTGCCAGATTCCAGACCAAGACAGGCAACTTCCTTTACAAACTGATAACCATGAATGAGGGCACCCCTCAGTCTCCTCTTCTCCAAGCTAAACAGCCCCAGCCCCCTCAGCCGCTCCTCATAAGGGAGATGCTCCACTCCCTCCATCATCTTTGTGGCTCTGCGCTGGACTCTTTCAAGCAGTTCCTGTCCTTCTTGAACTGAGGGGCCCAGAACTGAACACAATATTCCAGATGTGGTCTCACCAGGGCAGAGCAGAGGGGAAAGAGAACCTCTCTCTACCTACTAACCACATCCCTTCTCATCCACCCCAGGATGCCGTTGGCCTTCTTGGCTGCAAGGGCACATTGCTGGCGCATGGTCATCCCGCTGTCCACCAACACCCCCAGGTCCCTTCCAGCCACTCGTCCCCAGTCCTGTAGCGCTGCATGGGTAGCGCTGCATGGGGTTATTGTGACCAAAGTGCAGGACCCGGCACTTGACCTTGTCGAAGCTCATCCAATTGGCCTCAGCCCATGGATTCAGCCTGTCCAGGTCCCTCTGCAGAGCCTTCCTACCCTCAGGCAGATCAACACTCCCTCCCAACTTAGTGTCATCTGCAAACTGACTGAGGGAGCAGTCAATCCCCTCATCCAGATCATTGATAAAGACGTTAAACAGGACTGGCCCCAAAACTGAGCCCTGGGGAACACCTCTTGTGACTGGTGGCCAACTGGATTTAGCTCCATTCACCACAACTCTCTGTGCTCCCATCCAGCCAGTTTTTAACCCAGCACAGCGTATGCCTGTCCAAGCCATGCCCAGCTTCTCCAGGAGGATGCTGTGGAAGATGGTGTCAAAGGCCTTACTAAAGTCCAGGTAGACAACGTCCACAGCCTTCCCCTCGTCCACCGAGCTGGTCACCTCGTAATGAAAGGAGATAAGATCAGTCAACCAGGACCTGCCCTTCCTGAACCCACGCTGACTGGGCCTGATCGCTTGGTTGTCCTGCGTGTGACGGCACTCAGGATGATTTGTTCCATCACCTTCCCTGGCACCGAGGTCAGACTGACAGCTCTGGAGTTCCCCAGGTCCTCCCTCTGGCCCTTCTTGTAGACAGGCGTCACGTTTGCAAGCCTCCAGCCAATTGGGACCTCCCCAGATAGCCAGGACTGCTGATAACTGATGGAAAGTGGCTTGGTGAGCACTTCTGCCGGCTAACTTCTGCCACTCCTTACTGCGAAGTCTGTAACTGACGGTTCTATACCCTTTCTTCTCAGCCAATCAATGTTTCAGTGTGGGCACTACAGCATCAGCTCAAACTCATTCTCTTCATTATTTGCAATCACCCATATTCTGTTCATAACTCCACCAAAGAAACAGGAGAAGTGAAAAAAAAAACAGCAAAAAACCCAAACAAAACCACCAAAACTTTACCCAATGCCAGTAACTCGTGTCAGGAGACTGATAGATGCACTTGTATCATCTTGTCGAATCTGGAAAAAACCAAAACAACACAATACTCCATTTGCAATAAACAAAGAAATCTTGAGAAATCAAACTCAGCTTTGGAGGATCACTATAAATCAATGCAAAACGGTACCAAGGGTAGTACTGTGTATCACAGTAATGCTATATGTACCAGGCCCTAAAACTGCCTAACTGTCCCTGCTAAAGTGAACAGCATGGTCAAGCCACAAAACTCCCCAGACTTCCAGAGTCAGAACTCCATTTCTCAGAGAAGACATTCAGATGCTGACTATATGACCTAAAATATTTTCATACAGAGACAGTTTTGAAGCTTTGGCCAAGCTTCTCATTCCCTGCTTTCTACTCACCATAGACTCCCCGCCTACCATTTTTACACTTCACATCAGTCTCTCCAGGGACAGCAACAGAAATTGCTCAAAGCAAGCAGTCTACTTTGCAAGTTACAAAGCAAAGCAACTATTGAAAAATAGAGCACAAAGAGAACAAACTCACCTTTTCCAATTTGCGTAGTTTCCCAGTGGATAAGAACTCATCTATCTTCTCAGCTATTTTAGCACCTACTCCATCCTAAATATTGGTGGGGAGATCAGTTAGCTTCAAGATCCCTTAAGCCCCTTGCATCTAGAAAAAAAAAATGGAGGCTCCGCAGAATTTAGAGTACAGAAAGAAGCACGAGGCCACCAAGACCATTATAAAATATTGGACAATAAGGGACCATAAGAATTCCAGGGTACAACACAAGCAGCACAGACACTGTAGTTCAAGGGCTATATCAGAAGTTCCCCCAGAGCAGTAATTCTGAACGAGGCTTTTATTAGCACTGCTCATGATCCCAACGTTCTGTGAAGCAGTAACAAAGCGAAGGGAAACTCGCCACAAAAGGATCCTTTTGCAGGTAGAGATGCAGCAGGAGCCCACAGTTCCAGCTACGAAACCCCCTCAGCGACCATGTCACATCTCTGTCCACAGGTCGCAGCCCAGCCACC